GCAATTTGATTTCAATGGTATACAATTCAAGAAAAGGCAGAACTAATCTATATGGACAGAGAGCAGAGCAGTGGTATGTTAAGGCAAGGCTCAAGGAGAAAAGAGCTGGTTGCAATCGGGCATAGTGGGCAGTGATGCATGATGGAGAAATGCTGTATTTTGCCTGTGGTGGTGGCTTCATGGATATACACATTTGTCAAAACTCACCAAGCTGTACACTTGAGTATATTCTATTGTTTGTAAAATATACCTCAATAAAATTGATTTTTTTTCCAAGGTAGAGTGTTGCTGTGTCACCCAGGCTGGAGTGCAGTGGCACAATCACAGCTCACTTCAGTCTTGACCTCCTGGGCTCAAGCAATCCTCACGCATCAGCCACCCGAGTAGCTGGGACTACGAGCACGTACCACCATGCCCAGCTACTTTTGTTTTTAGGGATGGGATCACACTTTGTTGCCCAGGCTTGTAAGTTTATTTTATTTATTTTTTTGAGACAGAGTCTCACTCTGTGCCCAGGCTGGAGTGCAGTGGCATAATCTTGGCTCACTGCAACCTCCACCTCCCAGGTTCAAGTGATTCTTCTGCCTCAGCCCCTCAAGTACCTGGGATTACAGGTGTGAGCCACCATGCCCAGCTAATTTTTGTATTTTTAGTAGAGACAGGGTTTCTCCACATTGGCTAGGCTGGTCTTGAACTCCTGACCTCAGGTGATCCACCCGCCTCAGCCTCTCAAAGTGTTCGGATTACAGGCGTGCAGCACTGCACCCAGCTAGTAAGTTGATTTTAAAAGAAAAAAAAAAAAACTCAAAAAAGTACCAGTGTTTGAAATAGCAATAAAAAATGTTCAAGAGAATGGATAATAAATCACCACATATTCAGTAACTAGAGAATGATATAGTAGCAACAATGAATAAGCTAGATAGAGTGAACACATCAGTATAGACAAAGCTCAAAAACAGAAGGCTGAGTGAAAAAGCAGGTTCCCGGAGAAAACATGCAGCATGATGCTATTTATTTAAAATTTAATTACATGCAAAGCAATTCCACACATTGCTCAAAGATCCGTACACATGCAAGCATAAATAAGAATATGGGAATGATAAATACCAAATTCAGGAGTACAGCACCTCTTGGGGAGGAGGCAGGAGTACACAGGGGACTTCAAACCAGATCGATCAATTTTAACATTTTATTTATTTTTTATTTTTAAGCTGTTCCTTTCAGGGCAAGGCTAGCTCCCAAGCAGTGAACCCAGAGTCAGCCAATTTTTTTATTTTGTAAACTATGTGGGTGGTCCCTGTATTATTCCTCATGTCGTTTTGTGTGTCTGAGAGATTGCTTAGTGAAACGGACAGCAAACCAATGAAGACCAAAAAGGAAAGGGTGGCCACAAACAGTGAGGAAGAGCCTGGCTTGTATGTGGGCCACTGGTTTGTCCCTGGATTTGCTGTCCAACTGTGTAGGTCGCTTCTCTCTGATCAAGACACAAGAGGCTCATTCTGGACGAAAAGAGAAAGCATCCTTCCTGACCAGGCACTCAGAGGGACTTGATGCATGTCTCATCCTTTATTTGCTTCTGCAGCTGCAGTGAACTGCAAGCCGGTACCTGATCCTGGTGGGGGGATGCTCAGTGGCCGTGTCCACGCTCTCAGGCCAGCACAGCCAGGGCAGGAGCGGAAGAGGAGGGGCTGCTCTGGCTCCACCAGGGCCAGAGGCCAGGGACCCGCCTCGGACCACACACAAAGCCAGAGTACTAGTTCTGCCTGGGCCACTGGTTGCCATGTGACACTAGCAGAACCGGCTATTCCAGCCAGGGGTTATCCCCGGGACTGTGGTCACTGGGCTGTGCAGCAGATCATAGCGAGGGGACATTTCTTTCCCAACCCTCCTGAGGGAACTCAGCTTCCAGAACAAAAGCTGCCAAGGTGTTGAGGGCACTGTTTTGTGTACCCTGCAGAAGGGACTTCCTATTAAGGCTGGCCCAGTACCAGACTTTAAGATCCTCCATCTGGAGTAATCTTAGCTACCGCCCTCTATGCAGAGAGGGCAAGTGACTGTGACCAGCCTAAGGTCACACAGAAGGCAACTGGAACTTCTGATTTGTAGATCCCTCAGCAAGTTACTTAACCTTAACCTCTCTGGGCCTCAGTTTTCCTACCATCAAGTGGGTATATAATTGTGTGCATGGGGATGAGGAGATGGGGGTGTTTGATAGATATTTCTGTGTGGTGAAATTATGGGTGATTTTTATTTTTCCTTTTGGCTAATCTGTATTTTCTAATTTGCTGTTTTATAATGAATATGCATTTTGTTATTTTTCTTTTTCTTTCTTTCTTTTTTTTTTTAGAGACAGGGTGTCATCTCACTCTGTCACCCAAGCTGGAGTACAATGGCACCATCATAGCTCACTGCTACCACAGACCCCTGGGCTCAGGTGATAGCCTCCCAAGTAACTAGGACTACAGGTCCATGCCACCATGCCCAGTTAATTTTTTAAAAAATTTTTATGGAGAGGAGGTCTTGCTATGTTGCTCAGGCTGATTTTAAACTCCTGGGCTCAAGCAATCTTCCTGCCTCAGCCTCCCAAAGTGCTGGTTACAGGCATGAACTGCTGTACCTGGCCTATTTTTAATTTTTCTTAATGGAGAGAGTAATACTACACATAGTTGGTGTAAAGAGTCAAAGAGATAATGAAAAGCGCAGAGCACGGTTTCTGGTTCACAGTGTGTTCTCCATAAATACTTCTCCCTGCCCATTCCTCATTTGGGAAGGGAGGAGGAGTCGGTACAGGGCTCTGAGCAGTTACTGGCTACATAACTTTGGGTAAATTATTTAACTTCTCTCTCAGTTACCTTGTCTGCAAAATGACTGACACCTGCCTCAAAGGAAGTTTTCAAGGACTACATGACATACAGGATGGGTACGGCCTGGCAATAGCAATAAATTTGTAATAAATTTCTGCAGAAGAACAGAATGAAGGAACACAATGCACATAATGAAGGAAAAAGCATTAAAGTAGGAGCTAGACCAGATAAACAAGACGATGTTCACATAGAGTCCACAGAGCTCAAGGAGCCTCTTTAGATAGAGTGCAAAGGATTCACAAACTTAGATGAGAAAAATCACATCCTTGTTATTCATTACCTCTAACTGAAATTCAGTATTTTCTTTCATCATGCATATTGGCAAGAAAACCCACAATAGTATTAGTGGTACTTATTACTTTGTTACCAATAAAAATTACAGATATTTTCATATTGTATTACAATAGAAACATGTTGAAATACTAGTTACTTTCATTCACCACCTCAATATTATAGTAATTAACAGACTCATCTCTAGATTTTTCTTGACACTTTTTAAAAAGTAGGACAAAATCGTGATTCAATATAATTGGTATCCTTTGTAACCCTAAGTAATTTATTTTTTTAAGTTAAAAACATTATTCATGGCCTGGCACAGTGGCTCACACCTGTAATCCCAGCACTTTGGGAAGCTGAGGTGGGTGGATCACTGGAGGTCAGGAGTTTGAGACCAGCCTAGGCAACATGGTGAAACCCTGTCTCTACTAAAAATACAAAAATTAGCCAGGCATGGTGACATGTGCCTGTAATCCCACCTACTTGGGAGGCTGAGACAGGAGAATCACTTGAATCCAGGAGGCGGAAGCTGCAGTGAGCCAAGATTTTGCCACTGCACTCCAGCCTGGGTGACAAAGTGACAAAACAAAAAACAAACAAAAAACAACACATTATTCTGAATAGGGGTTCACAGACTTCATTAGACTGTTAAGGGGGACATGTAAGACAGACATGGGTACCAGCCCTGCCGGGGCCATTGATCGCTGTGTGGCACTGGACAATGGCAGGCCCAGATCTGATCCCTCTCAGGGGCCCTAGGGCCCAGGTCAGGGGAACAGCACAATTAGCATCTAAGGAGCTGACCTGGGTGAGGACAAGGAACCTAAAGCGCAGAGGGAAACAGCAGGGAAGCGGCAGAGCTGAACTGGAGACAGATCCCCTGATACTCACGGCCCGTTCCCCACACGTCCAAAGCAGGCGATGAAGGAATCCGGGGTGCTCAAGGCATCACAGTACCCATTTCCTACTCTACCCACTGCTGTGAAAAAGGTAGAGCTAAGGCATAGAAGGTGCTGTATGAAGCCCTTAGAGATGGCCTAAGGCGACAGGGTACACGACGGAAGCCAAGGCGCCGAGAGCCCCTTAGGACTGTGGTTCTTGGATGCTAGTGAGAACACTGCCCTTGTTCTCTGGAAATAATTTTTCAAAATGGACAGGTCTGCTGGTTTTGCTGGTCAGTGTGGTTACCATCTGGGCCAATCCACACCCACATTGGGCCCCTTGTCCCAGGCCAGTGGCAGGCAGTATGAACAGGAGAGTGTGGACATTGTCCGCGCACGAGCTAGCTCTCAGCGAAAGGCAGAGACTAGCAGGGACTCCAGAAGATGAGGACATCTAAAAGCCCGCTGGAAAAGAGGCATCATGAAAGCCGCAGAAAAGAGCAAGGGCTTCCTACTAGGCCGACCCCGGCTAAAATCTCATGGGCTTAGCGACCCTGGGAAATGGCTTTTCTCTGGCCCTCAGCTCCCCCCTATAAAACGGGTGCGAACATCCCTGGGCCCCTGGGTTGCTGCGGAGGTTGGGTGAAGCTGTGCTCACCCTCCCCACTGACCCCGCCGTGCGGTCGCAGGCTGGCGCCTTGTCTGTCTGCCCTAGCCCCGAATGCCCGGAGGCTCCCGGCGGGGGCTCGGTGCAGGTGAGGCGCCCACGCCCCGGCCTCGAATTCCCACACCGCCACCCCGGCCGCGTCGTGCTGTCGCTGCGCACCCAGCGCCCTCGTGCCGGCAGTGGGGTGGGGGCAGGAAGCGCAGGCAGAGCCCGACCAGCACGAGGCTCCCAGGCCGGCTCCCCGCGTCCGCTCCGGCTCCCGCTGCGTTCCCGCCGCCGCCTCCCGCCCCTCCCGCGCCTCCCGCGCCTTCCCGCCGCGCTGGCAGCGCACCTGGCCTCCGCTCGGTCCTCGGGGCCGCGGGTCTCCGCCGCTGCGCCTCGGCGCCCCGCGCTGCGTCTCCTTCTCTGCTTCTCTCGGCCCCTCTGTCTCTCTGTCTCAGCCGTTCTCAGGCTCAGCTCCGCCTCGCTCGCTCCCTTGCTTCCCCGCCGGGCTCTCGCCGGCCGTCTGGTGGCCCGAGGGGGCGGCGGGGCGCGATGAGCGGCGCCTGCACGAGCTACGTGAGCGCAGAGCAGGAGGTGGTGCGCGGCTTCAGCTGCCCGCGGCCAGGGGGCGAGGCGGCCGCCGTCTTCTGCTGCGGCTTCCGCGACCACAAGTACTGCTGCGACGACCCGCACAGCTTCTTCCCCTACGAGCACAGCTACATGTGGTGGCTCAGGTACCGACCCTGGCCCTCACCCTACCTTGAACCCCACTCCAGTCTCAGCCCCCTTCACCCCAGCCTCAGCCCTCATCCGAGTGCCCACCTGAACACCAAGTACGATCTCCATCCAGCCCTTACCGTCCTCACACCCACATCGTCAACCCCACCGCCCTCTGAAACCCCTTCTCAGCCCGATTTCCTCATCCTGGCCCCAACCATTATTTAGAGCCATGCTCGGACCTCCCCCTCCTCTAACCCGAAACAACCCTCGCTCTAAACCTACTCCAAACTTCATTCCATCACCACCCTCATCCCGACCCCAAATCACATATCAAGCCTCCTCCTAAGAGCAACTGCCATCTTCAAACGTTCACTGGCAGCTCTAACTTCACCCCAATCATCATTCCACCAAGTTCCCCTTCCTAATATCAACACCAACCTCATGCCTGACTTTCCACACTCCCCAGTACTGACCCCAGACCTTATTCTATCACCAGCCCCAAGCTCCTCTCTGTCCTGCCTGCAATCCCACCTCAGCACCTCTCCCACATCCTGACTCCGAATATTATTAATATCTAGATCTACATCCAAACCTCAGCCTCCAGCCTTAACCCTCGCCTGGTGCTACACCCCAACCCCAGCCTCAGCCCGGAGTCAGCCCTTGGTTCCCTTTTGTATTTAGTCATTCTTTTGGGCACTCTTTCCTGAGCACTTAGTGTGTGCCAAGCCCTGTGGTGAGTGCTGGGGATGTACCCCATTTTCAGCTAAGGCAGAAGACTAGGGAGTAGTCAGAGCTGCCTCCAAGTTCATCATGAGACAGTGGCAGAGTACAGAAGCTAGCTCAGGCCATATTCGTAGAAGTGTTGAAGCTCCACCCATAGGATCTCAGATTTCCCCATTTGTTCAGGGAAGGGGTTGCATTCCTGGAATCTAAGTGTTGGGCTAAGAGGGTAATAGGTCTCAATGCCTCTGGGTCTCTTAAGGCCTCACCTGGAGAATGGAACTTCATCCTCAGCCTGCTTTGGAAAACAGGCATCAGCAAAAATGGAATGGGCCAACTCAGCAGTGATTTTTCCGTCCCTGGAGGTATATGAACAGAGGCTGCTGCCTTCTGGGTGGGAAAGGACAGCATCCTATGCCACCAAAACTTCTCAAGTCTCTGTCTTTTCATCTATCAAATGGGCAGGATGATCAATCATTGCCCTGATTTCTGACTAAGGCAGTGGTAAGGATCAAATGATTTAACAGAGATGACATGAACTTGACATAGGCCAATGACAGTTAGAAATATGATAGCTTTTTGTAGGTGATTCAATCTACAATTCTAAATGATTTTCAGATGACCAAGTTATCAGATCCTACACACTTCTGCTGTCTGTAACACAGGGAATAATATTAATGTATTTTCTGTTCATCCGTATATTCATTCATCATTCATTCATTCATTCTAGGCTTTATTTTGTGCCAGATACTTTGCAAGGTGTTGGAAGCACAAAAATCAATTATTCTCTGCCTCTGAGGAACTCACAGTTTATTTAGAGATACTACTGAAATCACTTGACAAGTTCATTTTGCTTGCTGCCCAGAAAAACCAATGCATAAGAACAGGTTTTGCAGCAAAGAGTTTAATAATCACAGGGCTGGCAGGGGACGGTGGCTCATGCTTGTAATCCCAGCACTTTGGGAGGCCAAGGCGGTGGAACACGAGGTTAGGAGTTCAAGAACAGCCTGGCCAACACAGTGGAACCCCGTCTCTACTAAAAATATGAAAATTCGCTGGGCATGGTGGCAGGTGCCTGTAATCCCAGCTACTTGGGAGGCTGAGGCAGAATCGCTTGAACCTGGAGGTGGAGGTTGCAGTGAGCCGAGATCACGCTACTGTACTCTAGCCTGGGCAACAAAGCCAGACTCTGTCTCAAAATAATAATAGTAATAATAATAGTAATAATCACAGGGCCAACCAGGTGGCAAAATAGGACATAATTCTTAAATTCACATCCTCATTCCCTACCCACCCCCACGCCAGAGAATTTGGAGACTATGGTTTTTCAAGGATTGGTGGCAGATAGGGGGCTAGGGAATGGGGAATGCCAGTTGGTTGGGTTGGGGATAAAATCGTAGGGGATCAAAGCTATCTTCTTGCACTGAGTCAGTTGCTGGGTGGTGGGGGGTTGGTTACAAGACCAGTTGAGCCAGTTTCTTGGTATGGGTTACTGGTTCAGGTGTCATCAGCTGGTCCATCAAAATGCAAGGTCTGAAAGATACCTCAAACACTAGTTTTAGGTTTTATAATAGTGACATTATCTATAGGAGGAGTTGAGGGAATTACAAATCTCGTCACCTCCAGCTACATGACTTCTGAACCATAATTCTAACCTTGTGGTTAATTTGTTAGTTTAATAAAGGCAGTTGCAGTCCCTGAGCAAGAGGGTGTTAGTTTTAGGAAGGGGCTGTTATCATCTTTGTTTTAAAGTTAAACTATAAATTCCTCTTATAGTTAACTTGGCCTGTGCCCAGGAATGAACAAAGACAGCTCATAAAGTTAGAAGCAAAATGGAGTCAGCTATATCAGATTTCTCTCACTGTCATAACTTCCGTATCAGATTTCTCTCACTGTGGTAATTTTCACTAGGGCAGTTTCACAACATGCATCTAAAGTGAAACAGGGAAGTTTTGTTGAAGGCCCACTGTGTAGTTAGCACTGAGCTAGGTGCTGAAATAAGATGGTACTGACCTCCCTTGTAAGTACAGAGACAGTGTGGAGCTTTGGGGCTAGTCAGAATCTGTCACTTACTATCTATGTGGATTGGAAAAGTTATTAAACTGCCTGGTATTTTCTCTCAACTTTAAAATGGTCATAGAGATATTTTTGTGATGGAATTGTTGTGAGAACTAAGTGAAATAATACACGTTAAAGTGACCAGTGTATATAGTAGGTGCTCAATAAGAGAGTTCCCGTTCCTTGGTTCATAGATGTGGGAAGTGAAACTCAGTGTGGAAGTGAATTGTCCAGATCTCCTAGAAATATCATAGCAGACTGAGATTTAAAGAACATTACCTAAGACTATCCAAGGGTTAGATGCTTTCACACTTTCACAACCCTGGCGCTTCTCCTCATTTTACAGATGAAAAATCTTGAGAGAGGTTAAGTTACTATCTAGGAGTGTCCCAGTGAGAGGAAGTGGCACAGCTGGGTTGAAAATTCAGGCCTGTCTCATCCCAAGCAAGCCCTGGCTTGTCCTGTCTGCTACTGATCCACTCAGATCATTTGAAAACTATTCACTGACCCTCTAGTGGTCTTCTGGGCACTGTGCTGGCCCCTGGGAACACAAAGATGAGTAATCCTCTCAGCACCCAGCCAGGACCCCTTCCCTCCTCCAATAGCCCCTTCCCTACACAGCTCTTGTGTCTTGTGGTCCCTTCTGTTGCCCTGGAAACTCTCTGACGTGGTGTGCTTTAGCGGCTCAGACAATGCTTTCATGGGGGTTGGGTGGGGTGATCTCTGAGGTTGCATCCTCTGTCAGTGTGTTCCCATTCTGTGACCTCAAGGGTGGCTAAAATGCTCTAGGGTGACTCTTCCTGGACTCGGACATAATGTGATTATAAATACCACAGACAATTGCAAAGTGCAGGAGAGGAACTGAGAGTCCTCAGGATGTCTAGGGCATCAGCGTGCTCTGAACCTTGAAATATCTCTTCCGGCATGCTCCTAACAGAGCCCGGATATTGCGGGGTGAAGACCTTGTTTTGCTGTAAATTCCATTTGGTCCTTTTCATGAAAACCAATCCTTAAAAACATAAAAATCTCCAGGTAAGCACTATTTCCTGGGAGAGACAGTGCTCAAGGAGAATTGCCATCTTTAAAATTGTGCCTCAGGAGGTGAAGACACCCTGTGGAGAAGCAGTTGGTGCTGTCACACAGTCTGGTCCATTTGACAAGCACCCTCCTCCATCACTAGTTCTGTTTTTCACCAGGGTGTGAGCCAGAAGACAGCAGCCTTGCTGGAAGGCAGAGTTTGTGGTCAGGCCATGTCTACAGCACCTCATTTCATCCTTCTCACCACCTGGTGAGATAGAAACCTTTATAAATGAAGAAAATGAAGGTCAGAGTGGCAAAGTGGTTTTTCAGCTTAAATGTGGCAGAACCAGGATCTGAACTTAGAACTACCTAACTCTAGGCCGTGCATGGTGGCTCATGCCTATAATCCCAACACTTTGGGAGTGCGAGGCAGGTGGATCACCTGAGGTTGGGAGTTCGAATCAGCCTGGGCAGCATGATGAAACTAAAAATACAAAAATTAGCCAGGTGTGATGGCAGGTGCCTGTAATCCCAGCTACTTGGGAAGCTGAGACAGGAGAATTGCAGTGAGTTTGCAGTGAGCCAACATCATGTCATTGCACTCCAGCCTGGGCAACAAAGGGAGACTCCAACCCCAAAAAACAAAAACAAGAACAAAAATAACTACCTGACTCCAAAGCCCTTAGTTGTTAGGCTGTGCCTCTAATTCTTTCTTAGGAGTCACAGTAGGTTTTTATCTTTCAGTCAGAACGGTGAAATCCTTGAAGGCTCGGGACTCTCTAATCCAATTTCCTACTCAGGGTAGGAATCTCTAACTTCATTGAAAGATATAACTCATTCACGTGTCCTGCTTCTCCTGTGACAGGGACTCATCCCCACTTGAGGCAGTACAATCACACGGGACAACTCTGATTATTTGAAGTTCATCTCATGCTAAGCACAGATTTTCCTTCTCTGGAGCCTACCCTGTTGTTCCCAACTCTGTCATTGGGGTTTGGTTCCTCTGCCCCCAGGACAGATCAGCAGAGACAGCGCCTGCCCCCTGACTGACCTCCAGTCTGGGACATATCACCCCAGAGTCGAGGAAGAGGATGGACCCGAAAGCTGGAGAAAGAATGGTAGACAGGGACAAACAAAACTCTCCCCCTCACTCCTCAAAGGGCCTCTCTTAGAGGCCCCTTTCCATCCAGGTACCCAGAGTTGTCCCCCACACGGGCCCCAAGCGAAGCACAAGTCTCCCAGATAACAGCCCTATGAACAGTAAGCGTATCTCACATGAGAAAACAATGTTTAATTAAAGTAACTAAAGAACTCAAAAGCCCTACATACTCAATATAGAAAAATGTGAAAAGAGAAACGAAAAGAGAAAGAAATCACGAGTAATCCAGTGTCTAAGTTGGGATTCATCAGAAGACTCTGAGATGAGGGTTTGATGGCAAGTAGCTTATGTGGCAAGTGATCCCAGAAATCACTGGTAGAGGATGAGGAAGTGAGACAGGGAGGGGAAGAAGCCAACAATGGGTGTATTACCAAGCAAATCACGCCAGAGGTAACTGGAGCTTAAACTCTGCCAGCCATTGTAGAATGTACACCTCAGTTATCCCACCCGACGGCCAGGAAGCTGGATATTTGGCTAACAATTTCTGTCAGTCATTGGTCGTGGGCTGGTGGGGTAAGGAAGGCATTGATTATCCTGCACCATTAACTTGCCAGTGTGCCCACAGAGCCTGTTCTGGACCCAAGAAACCCCTAAGACAAAGAGATAACAGCTGTTGGCAATAGAAACTTTGGCCAGGAATGCCAAGGCAGGCAGATTGCTTGAGCCTAGGAGCTGGAGACAATGTTGGGTAACATGATGAAATCCAGTCTCCATAAAGAAATATCAAAATTAGCTTGGTGTGGTGGCACATGCCTGTAGTCCCAGCTACTTGAAAGGCTGAGGCAGGAGGATCACTTTAGCCCTGAAGGTTGTGGTTGCAGTGAGCCATGATGGTGCCACTGTACTCCAGCCTGGGTGACAGAGTGAGATCCTGTCTCAGAAAAAAAAGAAGAAAGAAAGAAGGAAACTTTGGCCAGAATATCAGGATATTCCACAATGATAAGATCCAAAGGGCCCCAGACAGCACATCCACATCCTGAACTACCAGGGACAGTCTGTTAGTTGGCATATTTCCATCAACCTTGCGTGTGTATAGTTATGTATATATTTAGTTAAATTGGGGTTATGCCATGTAGTTAGTGTAAGGTCTTCCAGGCCTACTGACCGCGTTATGGATGGCATGGTAACCTCTGTGACCTGCATGGACACTCCAGATGAGTTCCTGGAACTGGAAAGTCTGAAGTAACTGGAAAACCATAAAAGAAGAAGAAATGATCAACCCCTAATTAACTTGAGACATTCTTCTATTGTTCCTTATTGCCTCAGCTGACAAGGCAGTTGGACTTTGTGACTCCAGACTACGACCCCCTTCCAGCTTGCAAAACCCGCCCTAAACTGTAACTTCTGCAACTTTTCACTGCCTACCCCAAACCTATAAAACCAACTCCCATCCCACCACCCTCCACTGACTCTGTTTTCAGACTCAGCCTGCCCACACCCGGGTGAATAAACAACCATGTTCCTCATACAAAGCCTGTTTGGGGGGATGGGGGTCTCTTCATTCAGAGCATGCATTTTAACAATTAGTACTGTGTCCTGCTCTCTTCATTAATACTACCAATAAAGTCATAAAAATGTATCCATTTTCCTAGATATTAAGATCTAAAAGATCTGAAAACCTTGTTTTTTTGAGACAGGGTCTTGCTCTGTCACCTAGGCTGGAGTGCAATGGCACCATCACAGCTCTCTGCAGCCTCCACCTCCTGGGCTCCAGCGACCCTTTCGCCTCAGCCTCCTGAGTAGCTGGGACTACAGGCATGTGGTCACCACAACAGGCTAATTTTTGTATTTTTTTTGTAGAGATGGGCTTTCACTATGTTACTTGGTCTGGTCTTGAACTCCTGGGCTCAAATGATCCACCCACCTTGACCTTCCAAAGTGCTGGGATTACAGGCATGAGTCACAGCACCCTGCCTGAAAACATCTATATCATTAACAAAGTCTCTATATATGCTATACTATTCCATTGCAGAGATGTCTAATAATTTATTTAGCCATGAGAAGGCAGACTTTTCAAAGCTCTAAGGTGTTTTGGTTGAGTGGAAATTAGCCATTAACTAACAAGGAGCGAAATCCTGCAGAAGTGGCAAGGGCAGGAGTCTGGGGCCAGAGTCGGAGACCAAATTTTAGAACAAATGGTGCTCCTAGCATCTCTATCTATAAGGGCTTTAGGAGCTTCAACTCAGGAACCAGGGGCAGAGACCAAATATGTATTTCTTTTTTCTTTATTCTTTTTTGAGACAGAGTCTTGCTCTGTCACCCAGGCTGGAGGGCAGTGATATGATCTCAGCTCATTGCAACCTCACCTCCTGGGTTCAAGCGATTCTCCTGCCTCACTTGAAGAAGGAGAACTAAAGAAGGAAGGGCAGGCAAGGACAAAGCCTGATGCCACCTATGCCTTCTCCTTGGGAGAGTGTTCCATAATGCCTGACACATAGTAGGTACCAAATGATATTTACCAACATGCCAGGGCCTAGAAAATGGGATGATAAGGCTGATTAAACATGGTCTTGGCTCGGCATGGTGGCTCATGCCTATAATCCCAGCACTTTGGGAGGTTGAGGTGGGGGAATCTCTTGAGGTCTATAATTCTACCTACCTGAGAATTATATTCTCCTGCTGAGGCAGGAGAATCACTTGAACCTGGGAGGTGAGGTTGCAGTGAGCCAAGGTCATACCACTGCCCTCCAGCCTGGGTGACAGAGCAAGACTCTGTCTCAAAAAAGAATAAAGAAAAAAGAAATATATATTTGGTCTCTGCCCCTGGTTCCTGAGTTGAAGCTCCTAAAACCCTTGTAGATTGTTGAGATGTTAGGAGCATCATTTGTTCTAAAATTTGGTTTCTGAACCCTCAGTTCCTGACACAGAGCTCCTGAATTCCTTCTCATTTCCTGGGTGATAGGGGCATCTTTTGTTCTAATGAGATGACTCATGGTGGGCTCCTAGAGAGCCTCAGGTTGGGGACTGGTTGCCAGGGAAACAAACCATGTGATTAGAGGGCTAGAATTTACAGCCCCATCCCAACCTCCAGGGAGAGGAGAGGCCCCAGAGGTTGAGTTGATCACCAATGGTAATCAATCATGCCTATGTAATGAAGCCTCCATAAAATCCCAAAGACAGGGTTCAGAGAACTTCTGGACTGCCAAACATGTGGAGGTCCCTAGGAGGTTGTGTGCTTCAAGAGCACATGGAAGCTCCATGCCCCTCCTGTATGCCTTACCCTACCCTATGTCTCTTCCATCTGGCCATTCATCTACATCCTTTGTTATATCCTTTCTAATCAACCAGTAAACATAAGTGTTTCTCTGAGTTCAGTGAGCTGTCCTAGCAAATTAATCAAACCCAAGGAAGGGGTCATGGGCACACCGATTTGTAGCTGGTAGGTCAGAAGTATAGGTGACAACCTACTACTTGCAATTGGCATGGGAGGGCAGGAGGGAGTATTGAGGGACTGAGCCTGTAACCTGTGGGAACTGACACTATTTGCCTAGAGATGGTGCCAGAATTGAATCAAGTTATAGGACGCCCAGCTGGTGTCTGCTGGAGAATTGCTTGATGTGTGGGGGGAAACCACCATACATATGGTGACAGAAGTGTTGAGTATTGTGGGAGGAAAAAAGGAAGCTGTTTCTTCCTTCAGGCCAGGTGACCAAGGCCTGACTTGGGACAGAGGCAGTGAGGTTGGAGGGTGAGGGAGTGGAGAGGTATTTGAGACATGGAGTTGACACTGACATGGTCAGCAGGACCATGGAGGTTGGGCCAGAAGTCACCTGAGGCTTGGCTGGGCACGGTTGGCTCATGCCTATAATCCCAACATTTTGGGAGGTTGAAGTGAGAGGATTGCTTGAGGCCAGAAGTTTGAGACCAGCCTGGGCAACATAGCAAAACTTGGTCTCTATTTTCTTAAAAAAAAAAAAAAAAAAAAGGGCACGGGGTAGGGGGCAGCGCCAGGCATGGTGGCTCATGCCTGTAATCCCAGCACTTTGGGAGACCAAAGTGGTAGATTGCTTGAGCTCAAGAGTTCAAGATCAGCCTGGGCAACATGGGAAAACCCCATCTCTTCAAAATATGCAAAAAAAAAAATAATAAGCTGGAAATGGTGGTACATGCCTGTGGTCGCAGCTATTCAGGAGGCTGAAGTGGGAGGACTGCTTGAGCCCAGGAGGCTGGGGATTCAGTGAGCCAAGATGGCAACACTGTAATTCAATCTAGGTGACAGAGCAAGACCTTGTCTTAAAAAGAAAACAAAAAGAAAAGAAATTACCTAAGGCTGGAAGGACAGCTGGCTTTTAACTAAGGCCTACTATATATGTCCTGATTCTTAAGAAAAAGCAGTCTAGGGAGCCCCTAAGACCATCTCCAGCTCCCTGGGGTGTGAGCAGGTGAGGAAAGTAGGGAGGGAAGAAGATGGTGTTGCTGAGCAGGGTCAGGTATGTGGTGGGTCCTTGGCAGGTAGTTGGTGCACTTTCTTTCCCATGCTGAAGCATAGAAAGCTTGTTTAAGACAAGTAGGGACAAAACAAAGTCAAAGCTGATTCCTACAACACAATACTAATTTTTTTTTT